AGGCAACTTTCAAAAAACTTGGAGAAATGCTTGGGATACTATTTGTCCCCTGGAAGGGATAAACTTACACACAGGAGAGATGTAAACTGGCACAACAATTATACATCACTTGCTCTTCCAGATGGAAAAAATGGTTGGATATAACTAACAAGGGTACTCCAAGTATCTTCAGGTGCAAGTAATGAATAAAGGGCAGCCACTTCTCAGGTGGAACAGGGCAGCTATTTTACAGCATGCAATTTTGAGCACCATATTGATGAGAATGCACTGTACCTTTGCTGCTAAGTTGCTTTAACAGCTAGTATTTCTGTTTTAAAGCTTTTGTTTATGTAGCTGAGTGGATGGTGCCCTTACCTGGAGCTGTTGGGATAGCAAGGTGAAAAGAAAGTACTCTCCAAATGTGAGAATATCCCATTTAGCCTGTTGCTGTGCTACCAGATCTGCTTTCCACACTTGAAACACGAATAGGATGACTAATTACCTCCCCTTTGCTCAGGGAAATACCAAATACCCCACCCTTCCCACTTTTAACTAAGAGGAAATTTTACAACAACTTTCCTATGGAGCATGTTGACTGTAGGCTGAATTTCCAGCTCACTTACCCCTGGGAAACTCCCTGGGCACCACGGGGCATCTGCACCAGGGTACATCTTGCCTCCTCATCTGCTTTTCTGAGTGGGAAGTGGTGCTGGCTCTGCAGAAGCCTGTTCCAGGTGTGGAAGGGGGCAGCTGGGGAAAACAGCCATAATGGCCTCTTTTGGGAGTTTAGACACCTATTCAATGTCTTCATATAATTCTTATAGGAGTGGGTGGTTTGCCACAAAGGAGAAAGAGGGTGGATTTTCCCAGCCTCCTCCACAGCCCCTTGAAGACACACCACTGACCAAACTGCATAGGAGATTGGCAGAGCTATTGAAAGGGATCTGTGAGGAGGGGCCCCAGCATCAAAAACAGGTAGGTGTCTGCTACATTTAAATCACTGGATAAAACACAATTGCTCACTTCTGCTGGCTGCGGTTTTCACAGCTGAATAGATCTTTATCTGCCTCCATAATCAGTTAAGAATGAGAAGCTCACTTTTACTTTTATAGCCCCTGTACTTAAAAACAGCCCTTCTTCTGCTTTTTTTCTAAATATGAGAAAGACCCATCAAGAGTGGGACTTTGAGTGTCATGAAGGCCCTGCCTGTAGCCCTCTGCACAGGCAGGATGTTTTGCTCTTAGCACAGAGCTTTCAATTCTGATTCTGGCAACTCAGTGCAAGTCAGTGTCATCAACTCTGACAGAGTTTCTGCACTGCTCCCCTTTCTGTCACTGGAACATCCCCCACACACAACATAGCATGTGTGCCAGGCCCAGGAGTCTTGCTGCTGGCATGGAGAAGAGTCTAAGTTGGGAAGAAACAGAGAATCCAGTAAGGGAAACTTGTTACTCCAAGGCTACAGCAGGAATAAGAAGTTCATGTAAGTAGGCACACTCTAAATGCCACAGTTTGTCTCTCACTAGACCCTCGATTTGTCCTCTCTGGGACACACAGGCTGCCTGTAAGAGCTCAACATTTTCAGTCTGTTGACTCAGTTGCAAGTGCCAAAAGGCCATTCTTTCCAGGTGAACCCATTGCCATTTAGGCTTAAAAAGAAAGGGCAACACCCTACCTCAGCATCAGTCCAAACCCTGCAGTGTTTCTCCTACTGCCATCAGTGACAGCATGAAAATCTACTACATTTCTTTTGATTGAAACAAACAAACAAAAAAATAAACCAAGTTGCTGCCGACCTCACCAGGGACTGAAGATGCTCTGCTTGCTGCAATAAAAACATGCTGCTTGCCTATGGGGAATGTCAGGAAAAAGGCTAGTTGTACTAAAAATAGCTTTCTGCTGAGGCCCCCTCAGTAAGTTTATGACAATTTTAAGGACAGAGAGAAGTAATCACTTGCCTTAAGAAGACTGAGTAAAAAGAGAACACAGACTTAGTCTGATGAGAAGTGACTTAGTCTAGGTAATTATCAAGATAGAAGGTAACAAACTTTGGGAGGTAGTGAGAGAAATCCCTTTTTCCCATTCTGACAGTACTTCCAGGAGGTTTTCTCAAGTTGGTTACCATGAAGTAGGAAAGATCTGCCCTGTGGCCCTGGCTGTGTGACATGGTGAGCAAAGTGCAACCCCAAACCAGACCCCTATATCCAAAATGCAAGTGTTTCTCATGCCACAGCTCTGGCCCAGGGACTTGTCTTAGCTTTTTGCTTCCAGGGGACTGAAAGCTTCCTCAGTGCAGAGCAGCCACTCAGCGCTTCAGTTCCAGCCTCGTGCAATCATCGTGGCAGCTGCAGGGCACAGCTTTCAAACCACTTCCAGGTTCACCCAGTTTACCTTAAAGAGGTCTGCATTTGCAGAGCCTTGTGCAATCTCACATGGCCGTAAAAGTGGTACTTATGACCATATACTGGGTGTGGTTTACAGAACAGGTTTTGTTTACTTCAGCTTACAATGTAAAGCCACCAGCTTTAATTCTCCCTAAAAAACAAAACAGCAGGGGAAGTGCATGATTCAGAGGGCCTGGTGCAAATTTTTGCAAAGTAACAGAGACAAAACCAAAATAATTCAAATTATGCATATGTGTAAAATTAAAGAAATTCAAGTTAAAATCAGGACTAACTCCTATTAGCCCTAGAGATGATCCAAGAATATGTATGGAAATAAATAAATCGTCCTAATTTTCAGTTTCAGCATAAAAGAGGGCAGTGCTCACAGATCTGAATGGTTTGGGTATTTACAGACGTCAAATGGAGAGAGGAGAAACATAAACAAGAAAAGCATTCATAACAGTGAACTGAAATGCTGCAGGGTGATTGCTTCTCCACATGCCTCAATGCAACTAAGAGGCAGCTTTAAATCACTGCAAGGGGCAAAAGAAATTACTTTTGAGCAGGATGCCTTCATTTGCCCCACACTGGAGGGACTGTGCCAAGGTGAGACCAGGTATCTACTAGGTTTGGCTGTCAGCACAGAGATTCCAGAGGTCCCCCACAATCCATGGCCACTGGGGCGGACAACAACAAATAAGTTGGCCTGGTCAGTCTAATTTATGAACAGGAGAGCAATTTATCCTATAATCCATCTGAAGGGAAGATTGCTTAAAGCCACATCTTCCTGGCGTTCCATGTGACTGTGCACGCTTTGAGGAGGAAGCAGCCAGCACAACTCAAGCTCTGGTCTTCAACAAATAAGCAGGTGATCAAAACACTTGGTGTTTCCACACAAAGGCCAATTAGGGTGCCATAGGTGACAGCAAGGAAAAGTAGGCCCTTTCAATATTTCTTTCAACATTTGCAAACCACAGTAGACAAAGCAACACCCTCCTTTATAAAGATGGCGTGGGCTTGTGCTCATAGCTGGTATTTCTGATGCTTTGTTGCCAGATAATAATGCTAGTCTGCTTCCTTTTTGCTGCACATGCTACTCAGGCCAAATCCTGACAGGTCAGCACTGTACTTTCAGTGTAGGCAGTGGAGCAGAAATGTTTAGTGCCCAACAGAATCAGGGCACATTCTGCAGTTAATGTCACAGCAAAAAAAATGTCCTGAAGGCTCATCTTTACCTTCTGTTTTCTTGTCAAGACCAATTTATTTATGGTCAATACTGTAAAGACTAGATTCAAGTGGTAGTTTTGTTATGTCCACATTTTTAATGAAATTTGACATTTAAGACAGCATTTCAGTTCACCTTCAAGCCTATAATTACACTTGCAAATCTGCTTAGCAAGACATCAGCAGAGTATCCCAAGGGACAGCTTGAACAGATTGGTTCTGTTCCCATAGAAGCAGCATTTGAGTACCAAGTGATGCTACAAAGCAGACACTGCGGACTGCAATGCCTGACACAGACACTTGCAAACTGGACCATTCCTATTCTTCAAAATAAAAACAAAACCAAAGGCTGCAAAGAGCCCTTCCTTTATCTGAAAAGCAACACTGCACTAAGTCAGATACCACTGGAGGTCAGGAGCACTTCATGAATGCACCACTGAGACAGGACTCCTTTCTACACCCCTTTCGTTATCTTTGGTCTCATGAAATCTGCAAGTGCTAAAAGTACCAGGATAGCCCCAGGGATGAAATCCTGTTAATTATCTCTTGGTCTAGCATCATGATGACCCAGTGCTGAGGAGCACCTTTATGTCTCTTGCACAAATGCAGACTCTGCCCAGCATCTTCTTCCCAAAGGAATCCATTTAGTTGTCTCTTCTCATTGTAGCCCTATCACCACAGAAATTTTGAGAGCAAATTTTGAGAGCCAAATGCCGGGATGCTCAGGATTACATTTCACACCCAATTTACACATCCAGCATTTACACCATTTACACCAAATTTACACTTTGCGCAGTTTATGCCACAACCCCCAAGATATGACTGAGTAAAGTACAGCTCAGACTCCATGTACATCCAGTTCTCTTCAGGTCTGGGAAAAAAGTGGGTCTGATTTGTACCAGTTTGGACTTTTCATCCATGCCCATGGCAAGCAAAGTGAAGGATCTCCTTCTCTCACAAGCCACCTCAGCAGATCTTTCTGGAGGACTCGAATGGTTTCATCCCTGAGTTCAACTTTAAAAGAGAGAAATGCAGTCCTCAGCATTCACCACACTAGCACCAGAACCAAAGAGAACATTTAGCACAGAGGTCTCTACTGCAGGAACAAGAAACAAATAAGCAGCACAACACTGGGAAAGATGGAGAAAAGCAGAAAGAGGTCAGTTTGTATCACACCAAAGAAACAGAGGGAAGCCTGATGACAAAAGGTTTGTACTAGTGGAGGGAAAAAGCTTACAGAAGGTAGACTGTGCTGTTCAACAGCAAAACCTTTGCAGCCCTCAGTGGTCATTTGTGATCATCAACAATGATCCCAGACTGGTAAAAAATCAAATCGGGAGAGCATTCTCAGACATAAGAACTTTCGAGGCCATTTCAATGACATGAGCAAAATTCAAATGTTTCTTTTTTTTCCCCGCAGGGATGACAACGACACTGTTCAGCTTAGTGCATACAGTTCTCCATTCTTCAGCAAGACTTAGTCTAGCTGACTGATGTGCAGTTCAGCTCTGCAGAGTCCTGCCTACTTGCTGCTGCCACAACTCCCTCTGGCCCATCAGCGATGCTGGGCTCACTGGAGCACTGCCTGTGGCTGAAACAAGTGGACTGCAGGAGGAGGCACTTGTCAGTACTGTCTGATTCCTCAATGACCATTCCTGTGTGCATCATGGAGGCCATTGCCAGGAGCTGGATATCCGAGTGAGCATTTGCAACAGTGTGGCGACGGATGCTACCACATTTCTCCAGGTAAGCCTCTCCCTCCTGCTCTGTCAGTGGGGTGAGGGCCATCTCACTGGGCTGCCGGGTCGTCACGTGAGATGGATAATTCAGTACATCAGTCTTAGGACGAGATCTGGAGTACCGTCTCTCTGGAAGAGAAAAAGGAAGCCAGAATGGTCAGTAGAGCACAGATAAAGCATTGCTCAAACTTCTAGGCTGGCTCAGGAAACAGAGATAATTCAGTGTGCAGCTGTAGTGTCCCACCTCCTTACCACTGGAAAACATTCAGGTGCTCACTAGTTTATACTGCTGGGGATTTGGAAAGGAGATCTGCCTCTCCCCCAGTAAGGAGAGACCTCCCATCCTGCTATAAGGCAATGGTGCTGGTGCCTGTGAGCAAAGTGAGTCAGAAAGCCACAAGTGCAGCCAAGGGACTTTCTTGAGCATCCTGGTGATCTCCTTCCTTATCCAGGGAAGAGGACTGAGTAGGAGCTCTCATGTGCAGGTTCACTAAAATGACTAACACTAAAGTGGCACAAGTCTCAAAAAAAAAAAAAAAAAAAAAAGAAAAACATTTAGAGAGGACTTGAGTTGCCAACTCTTCCTCTGAAAAATTTCTCTCAGGAGGTGCTATTAGTTGTTGTCAATGTGAAAGTCCTGACGCTTATACCGCACTGCCTCACCATCTGCCTAGGTAAAGGCCATTCTGCTGGCATTATCCCACTGTATTTTTCAAAGATCATGCCAGAAAAAGAAAATTTCATCCACCTTACAACATGTCTGGTTTGGGTGCTAGACACGGAAAACACCTAACAGTGCAGAGGAGCAGTCCACAAAGTCCTAGGGGAAGGGCACACGAGAGAAGGTCAGCACTTGGGGAGCAGGGATAAGGCAGTGACACAGAATTGATGGGTGTGGGGTGTGCCATCTCCTCAGCAAACCATTAAGGGGAAACAATGCCTGGTCTAAAAATCGGACTCAAGACACAGCCCCCAGTCTCGTATCATGAAGTGCAATTTCAATTCTGATACTCAAAGTTTTTAGAAAGGCAGTGGTCGGAGTTTGTGCCTTGGCTCACTCTAATTCACTCCCCTAGCAGATTGAATCAGACAATAAGAATCAGCCAGCACCTGCTGGCTTCCACTGCTGTGCAGCATTGCCATGTGATGCTAAACACCTCCTGTGGTCTATCTCTACAGCAGCTGAGAAAGCTATTCCATACCTGTCTCATTTCTCACCAACTTCACTGAAGTGCAGAGCCTCATTTCATGAAGCCAGAGCCTTTAAACCATATAAAAGGCCTACACCAAGACTGCTGAGCATAAGAGAGAGAGTAACAAAATGCAAAGCAAAGCACTTATCACTGAAGGTTATAAAAGAGTTTTGGAAGCTTGCATCAGGAACAAAAGCAGAAAACAAACTCTATATTGTTGCAGGGAGGCACGGTTGAGCACACAAAACCACCACTGGCAGCAGCCAAGCTATGTCAACACTTCACCCTGTTACTGCCAGTAATACATTCATTCAAACTGGGTCATTTTTTGCTTAAGAGCATGCACCAATAATTTTTGAGGTTGGTTACAATTCATATACTCGTTAGGTTTCATCTGCAGCTCAAGCCACAGCAAGCTGTAGTGTTGAAGGGCATTGGGATCCAACTCTTTCAAGCTAAAAACAGATCCATCCACAGATGATTTTTGTGCAAGAAAATTAAAATCCTTTATGATGAGAATCAGGTGAAATTAGGGTAAACTCTGAACATTCATTTATGGCTTTACTTTACTCCTTCTACTTTCCTGACCACAAAAGACAGTCTCTTAAGAGAGTTGTCATGCATAGTTTAACTAGACATTTTATTTCTATTTTGGTGCCTTATGACAAGGAATATAAACTTGGAAGCAAACTCAGATCAGCAGTGATGTTAGCCTTAATATATGAGGAAATAGGGTGAATGTTTTAATTTTATCTTCTCTCCTATCCCCAATATAAACATTGTTTCTTAGAAAACTGGATCCCTTCGGCATATTCCATCCTTACAATGCAGGTTACAGCTAACTTACACAGCCAAAGCAACAAGGGTGATAACAGAAGAGCAGGTGGGAACATTGCCCTCTACAATTCCCCTCTGTGAGTGGTCCTGCCCCCTTTCACACCTATCCCTGCTGTGTTCCTCTCTCACTTTAAATCAAGCTTAAGATACAGCAGCCTTGCAGACAGAAGTCTTATGTGTATTCACAGCTGAGTCAGACACCTTCAGTCACATTTCTCAACGTTCATTCTTCTTGAAGTCTCCAGTCCAGAGGGCAGTTTGGCCTCCACAGCAGCTGTGGACAATGCAAGCGTGCATTTCCCAAAAGCTGCTACAGGGAACTTACTGGGCTTCATCACCATTACAGGCTGCCCAGTGAGAGAAAAAACTGGTTCTGAGAAAGCAAAAAGATGACTGAAAGAGGGAGAGAGGAAGAGAAAGAAGTTTGTTTACGAGAGGGAGTTAAGGAAAAGAAACCACCAGCACAGCAGCACTTTGAACATACTAAGATNCTTGGCCACCTGGGCACACTGCTGGCTCATGTTCAGCCTCCTGTCGATCAGCACCCCCAGGTCCCTTTCTGCCTGGCTGCTCTCCAGCCACTCTGTGCCCAGCCTGTAGCGCTGCAGGGGGTTGTTGTGGCCAAAGTGCAGGACCCGGCACTTGGTCTTGTTGAACTTCATCCCATTGGAGTCAGCCCAACTCTCCAGTCTATCCAGATCCCTCTGCAGAGCCCTCCTGCCTTTCAGCAGATCAACACTCTCCCTCAGCTTGGTGTCATCTGCAAATTTACTAATGGTAGACTCCATCCCATCATCTAGATCATCAGTAAAGATATGAAACAGAATTGGACCTAACACTGATCCCTGGGGGACACCACTAGTGACTGCCAGCTGGATGCAGCCCTGTTCACCAGCACTCTCTGGGCCCGGCCCCTGAGCCAGTTCCTGACCCAGCACAGAGTGCCCCTGTCCAGGCCACGGGCTGCAGCTTTTCCAGGAGTATATTATGGGAGACAGTGTCAAAGGCTTTGCTGAAGTCCAGACAGACACATAAACAGCCTTCCCCTCATCCACCAGGTGGGTCACCTGATCATAAAAGGAGATCAGGTTGGTCAGACAGTTCCTGCCCTTCCTCAACCCATGCTAGCTGGGTCTGATCCCTTGTTCATCCTGTAGGTGCCGTGTGATTGCACTCAGGATGATCTGCTCCATAACCTTGCCAGAGACTCCTCTCCTCATTAATCCCTGCTACTGCAGGAACTGAGGTGAACACCACCTATGCTCCAGTCCCATTAACTAATAGACCCAGTTCCTTGAAGTCCTTTTTAATTAGCCTGGTACTTCTTTCATTAGTGTCATCACTGCCAGCCTGGACCACCAGCAACAGATAATAATCAGAGAGCCAGATTAGCTCAGAGAGTCTCCTACTAATATCCCTCACCCAGGCCTCGGGAAGGCAGCAGACCTCCCTGTGGGATAGATCCAGGCAGCATATAGGGCCTTCAGTTTGCCCTCAGAAGGCAGTCGCCTACTACAACTACTCTTTTTTTTTTCTTTATAGGTGTGGCTGTGGTCCATCTGGTAGATGGGGTGCAACTGGGAGACCCTCCAGACAGATCCTCTTCTTGACTGTCCTCTGCCTGACTCTCTGAGGCCAGGGCCTCATACCTGGATACGCAATTGCCCAGTAATCACAAGAACAAAACCCTTGAGCCACAGTTTGCCTAAAGCAATACCATGAGTTTGTTACAGGTACAAGTTGTCTGAGTCCTGATAAGTCCTTCTACCAAAAGCCCATCTTTTCCCCTGTGCTTCCAAGACATAGTACAAGACAGGTTGTGTGTCTCCAGCTTGCTACAATTTGCACAGAAGCAAAGGCTAAAGCGTATAAAAACATAGGGAGACTGGAGCTTTTTTTGCTTCTTCTATTTAAATCTTCTTGACTATCAAATCACTATGCCCATTAGCAAGCCAGTCTCTTCTGGCTGGCCACATGTGCAAGCAGAGCTCCTCTGGATCATGTACAAAGAAGTTTCCCACTATAAGCATTCCCTTCCTGAAGTGCTGTTCTCTCACCTAGACCCATTTATCCATAGTTTAAACACAGATTTTTAGTTTTATCTTTTTTAAACAGAATCCTCAGATGGAAGGAAGGCTCTGTGCAAGAATCCCTGGAATCCCTCAGAATTAACATGCAACAGTTCTGCAGTTTGCAAAGGCTAGCTGATGCAGCAGTGAGCATGGGAATTCAGGCAGCTGAAGCAGGGTAGCAAGCAGGGACAGAGAGTGGGCAGCAAAGCACTAGGTCTGGTCTCTCCCTGGGTTGAAGGCAGTACCCCAGGCACGGACCAGAGTTTTAAATCCATTCCATCTCCAGAGAGAGGAGGTATTTTCCAGGATGCGTGTGTGTGTGTGTGTGTGTGTGTGTGCGGGCGCGCAGTGGTGCAACAGTAATAGTTCAGTCAGTCGTGGAAAAGAAAAAGACTGTCACAAAAATCTACATTCAGAAATATTAACCAGGACCTTCTCAAGGGTGTTTTAGGCTTTGTTTTCTGTCTCTCACAGAGTCATGCACTGTCTCCTTTTCCAGCNGACACCTTCAGTCACATTTCTCAACGTTCATTCTTCTTGAAGTCTCCAGTCCAGAGGGCAGTTTGGCCTCCACAGCAGCTGTGGACAATGCAAGCGTGCATTTCCCAAAAGCTGCTACAGGGAACTTACTGGGCTTCATCACCATTACAGGCTGCCCAGTGAGAGAAAAAACTGGTTCTGAGAAAGCAAAAAGATGACTGAAAGAGGGAGAGAGGAAGAGAAAGAAGTTTGTTTACGAGAGGGAGTTAAGGAAAAGAAACCACCACCACAGCAGCACTTTGAACATACTAAGATTATTTGCAGAAAAGTGCTATTTTGCTGTCAATATCTTAAACTGCAAACACAAGTTCATTCTTTCCTTGAGCTCAGCATAGGGTAGGGTAGGGACAAAAGGCCACCTTGGAAATACCCACAAATAAATGGCAGCTAAAATAAAAGTAAATACAATGGTTTCAAGGCATATTAACTTCACAAGGCCACTTTGTGTTGATTTTTTTTTAAATGACACAGATGCCTCGGTCAGCTGGCAGAAATCCAGGACATCTAGAAGCTTCAGTATAGGTCAAGTGACCTTTCCAACTATCCCAGCAACATGCAGATGTCCATAAACAGCCAAGCAATAAAATTTGTCAAAGTCTGACTGTTTATGGGGGTTTGAGTCTAGATTTAGTCTCAGGATCAGGTCTGCAAATCAATGTTAAATTGTTTACACAGTTCACTTGCATAAAATCATAGAACCATAGAATCAGTCAGGTTGGAAAAGATCTCTGAGATCATCAAGTCCAGTTCCTGATCCAACACCACCATGATTACCAGACCATGGCACCAAGTGCCACATTCAGTTTCACCTTAAAAACCTCCAGGGACGGAGAATCCACCACTTCCCTGGGCAGCCCATTCCAAGGTCTGATCACTCTCTCTGTAAAAAATTTTTTCCTAATATCCAACCTAAACTTCCCCTGGCAGAGCTTGAGCCTCTTGTCCTACTGCTGGTTACCTGGAAGAAGAGACCAACTCCCACCTGGCTACAACCTCCTCTCAGGTAATTGAAGAGAGTGATGAGGTCTCCTCTGAACCTTCTCTTCTCCAGACTAAACAACCCCAGCTCCCTCTCCCTCTCCTCACAGGACTTGTGCTCAAGTCCCTTCACCAGCTCATTGTTCTTCTCTGGACCTGCTCCAGCACCTCAATGTCTTTCCTGAACTGAGGGCTCTAGAACCGGACACAGCACTCCAGATGTGGCCTCACCAGTGCTGAGTACAGGGGAAGGATCACTTCCCTGCTCCTGCTGGCCACACTGTTCTTGATGCAGGTAAGGATGCCATTGGCCTGCTTGGCCACCTGGACACACTGCTGGCTCATGTTCAGCCTCCTGTCGATCCAAATTCCCAAATCCCTTTCTGCCTGGCTGCTCTCCAGCCACTCTGTGCCCAGCCTGTAGCGCTGCAGGGGGTTGTTGTGGCCAAAGTGCAGGACCCGGCACTTGGCCTTGTTGAACTTCATCCCGTTGGAATCAGACCATCTCTCCAGCCTATCCAGGTCCCTCTGCAGAGCCCTCCTGCCTTTCAGCAGATCAACACTCTCCCTCAGCTTGGTGTCATCTGCAAATTTACTAATGGTAGACTCAATCCCCTCATCTAGATCATCAGTAAAGATATGAAACAGAATTGGACCTAACACTGATCCCTGGGGGACACCACTAGTGACTTCCAGCTGGATGCAGCCCCGTTCACCAGCACTCTCTGGGCCCGGCCCTCGAGCCAGTTCTTAACCCAGCACAGAGTGCCCCTGTCCAAGCCGTGGGCTTTTCCAGGAGTATATTATGGGAGACAGTGTCAAAGGCTTTGCTGAAGTCCAGACAGACACATCCACAGCCTTCCCCTCATCCACCAGGTGGGTCACCTGATCATAAAAGGAGATCAGGTTGGTCAGACAGTTCCTGCCCTTCCTCAACCCATGCTGGCTGGGTCTGATCCCTTGTCCATCCTGGAGGTGCCGTGTGATTGCACTCAGGATGATCTGCTCCATAACCTTGCCAGAGACTCCTCTCCTCATTAATCCCTGCTACTGCAGGAACTGAGGTGAACACCACCTATGCTCCAGTCCCATTAACTAATAGACCCAGTTCCTTGAAGTCCTTTTTAATTAGCCTGGTACTTCTTTCATTAGTGTCATCACTGCCAGCCTGGACCACCAGCAGCAGATAATAATCAGAGAGCCAGATTAGCTCAGAGAGTCTCCTACTAATATCCCTCACCCAGGCCTCGGGAAGGCAGCAGACCTCCCTGTGGGATAGATCCAGGCAGCATATAGGGCCTTCAGTTTGCCCTCAGAAGGGAGTCGCCTACTACGATTACTCTTTTTTTTTTCTTTATAACTGTGGCTGTGGTCCGTCTGGTAGATTGGGGTGCAACTGGGAGACCCTCCAGACAGATCCTCTTCTTGACTGTCCTCTGCCTGACTCTCTGGGGCCAGGGCCTCATACCTGGATACGCAATTGCCCAGCAATCACAAGAACAAAACCCTTGAGCCACAGTTTGCCTAAAGCAATACCATGAGTTTGTTACAGGTACAAGTTGTCTGAGTCCTGATAAGTCCTTCTACCAAAAGCCCATCTTTTCCCCTGTGCTTCCAAGACATAGTACAAGACAGGTTGTGTGTCTCCAGCTTGCTACAATTTGCACAGAAGCAAAGGCTAAAGCTTATAAAAACATAGGGAGACTGGAGCTTTTTTTGCTTCTTCTATTTAAATCTTCTTGACTATCAAATCACTATGCCCATTAGCAAGCCAGTCTCTTCTGGCTGGCCACATGTGCAAGCAGAGCTCCTCTGGATCATGTACAAAGAAGTTTCCCACTATAAGCATTCCCTTCCTGAAGTGCTGTTCTCTCACCTAGACCCATTTATCCATAGTTTAAACACAGATTTTTAGTTTTATCTTTTTTAAACAGAATCCTCAGATGGAAGGAAGGCTCTGTGCAAGAATCCCTGGAATCCCTCAGAATTAACATGCAACAGTTCTGCAGTTTGCAAAGGCTAGCTGATGCAGCAGTGAGCATGGGAATTCAGGCAGCTGAAGCAGGGTAGCAACCAGGGACAGAGAGTGGGCAGCAAAGCACTAGGTCTGGTCTCTCCCTGGGTTGAAGGCAGTACCCCAGGCACGGACCAGAGTTTTAAATCCATTCCATCTCCAGAGAGAGGAGGTATTTTCCAGGATGCGTGTGTGTGTGTGTGTGTGTGTGTGTGTGCGGGCGCGCAGTGGTGCAACAGTAATAGTTCAGTCAGTCGTGGAAAAGAAAAAGACTGTCACAAAAATCTACATTCAGAAATATTAACCAGGACCTTCTCAAGGGTGTTTTAGGCTTTGTTTTCTGTCTCTCACAGAGTCATGCACTGTCTCCTTTTCCAGCACAAATGTGCACTGCCTCACATTAACCAACCTGCGTACCATAATAATAGCTTCTGTAGGATGTGCATGTCTTACCGAGTAAGCAGGTGCTACCAGAGGAGCTGTGATCCTCACACAAACCTAAGTATGGTGATACCACTTGCTTGACCAGTTCTTCCAGCTGTAGGTAGCCCTCACTGGGGCCAGTAGGCTCATGGACACTCTGAAAATCAAACACAAAAAGTCAGCATTACCCTTAGAAGGTTTTTGAGTAAAGCCTAAGGTCTGTCAAATATCTCTGCACTGGAATATCCCAACCATTCTGGCAGACTATGTGGAGCTGGTAAGACCAAATGGAGGTTTGTGTGCCATTCAGGTCAACCTTCTTGTTCTAGTCACAGTCATAACCTCCCAGGTATGGAGCAGCCAGCTCTTTTTTCTGACCTAGGGACAGGAAGGTTCAAGGCATGCTCATACTGAGGATGTGCACAGCATACTACAGTGATATAATTACACCAGGGCAGTTCTACCAGGAAACATCTCTTTGTAGAAAAGCTCTAACACACCTCGGGCAAAGTACTGCTACTTTCCTAGGCAGGACTGCAGGCAAAGCACCCTCTGTGGTTCAGCTTACAGCTATGAAGATGGCAGATAACACTAACCAATTTAACAGTAATTTCAGAAACCTTTCAGACTTAACTTCCTGCAAAGCCTCAATAAGCTTATTTTTCTCAAATGTGTTGCTTTGAGACCCTCTTTGCTCTCAAGATTCTTTTATTAAAATAATATTTTAGGGAAAATGAGATATCTCCTGCTGTTATAGTCTGGGTCACTGGAACATCAGAACAGTGAGAAATTATACAGAACTAGAAGCTTAGCCCCTTTGCAATTATAATTGTGTTTCAGAAAGTTTCATTCCTAGACACTCGTTATACTGGAGAAGAAATAAAAGCCACCAAGCTGTGTAGTTGTGTCAACACGCTGGAGGAAAGGGATGCCACCCAGAGGGACCTTGACAGGCCTGAGAGTCCCTGTGCAAACCTTATGATATTCAATAAGGTCAAATGTAAGATCCTGCACATGGGTTGGGGCAATCCAAAGCACAAATATTAAGCTAGGTGGAGAATGGATTGAGAGAAGCTCTGAGGAGGAGAAGGACTTGGGTGTGTTGGTGAATGAGAAGCTCGATGTGACCCAGCAATGTGCACTTGCAGTCCAGAAAGCCAACTGTGTCCAGGGCTGCATCAAAAGAAGTGTGGCCAGCAGGTTGAGGAATGTGATTCTCCCCCTACACTCTGCCCTAGTGAGACATCACCACCTGGAGGTCAGTGCCCCCAACAGTAGAAAAACATGGATATTTGGAGCAAAGCCAGAGGAGGGGCATGAAGATGATCAGAAGGCTGGAGCACCTCTCCTATGAGGAAAGGTTGAGCTGGGGTTGTTCAGCCTGGAGAAGAGAAGACTTCAGAGAGACTGCATTGTGTCCTTTTAGTATCTGAAAGGGCCTACAAGAAACCTGAAGAGGGACTTTTTATGAGGGCATGTAGTGACAGAACAAGGGGAATGGCTTTAAACTGAAGGAGGGTAGATTTAGATTAGACATTAGGAAGAAATTCTTTACTGTGAGGGTGGTGAGTCACTCAAACAGGTTGTTCAGAGAAGCTGTAATGTACCATGTCTGGAATTGTTCAAGGCCAGGTTGGATGGGGCTCTGAGCATCCTGGTCTGCTGGAAGCTGTCCCTGCCTATGTCAAGGTGGTTGGATCTAGATGATCTTTAAGGTCCCTTCCAAACCAAACCATTCTATGAATGATTTTATGAACCCAAACAAGTAATATGGTATTTTGCAGGACTGTCAGGCTGGGCAACATAGAAAAAGATTAAACAGTTGGTATACAGTCCGCTGTATTTGGCATGCTTGGAAAGTACTCTGTTGAGGTCAGAATAAAGAGGATAGTTCTTACAGAAGATCTGGGTCTCTTGGGAGAGGCCTTTGAAAGATGTACAGCATGTACAGCCTACTGAGAAAAGGTATTTCTCCTCTCAAGGGCACTGCTTATCATGCCAGCCAGCCAAGGAGCTGGCATTGGACAGCCAGAAGCCACAGCTCATTCGAATTCCACTATTTGCTGTGATGGAGACTCACACTGCCATTGCAAAGCTGAGAAATCAGGAGAACAAGGGCACAAAGAGGCATTCGGAGAAGCTGGGAAATGAAAATTTATGTGAAGAAAGAGTCCTGTAACTGTTCCTAGGTAGGGAGGAGAGGTACCAAGACACCCATCTCTTACAAGGCAACATCCTTACCTGTTTCTAGGAAAGCTCAGGACACCCAAATTCAGCTCTCATTTCTACAGTTACCACTCCCAAATAAGCACACATCCCCTTCATCACATCCTCCACCCTCCCCATTCTCCAGTGTTCATATTAGTTCACTGAGGTAAAGATAGCCAAGTGGAGTCAGGCAGAGGCTCCCCACCTGCAGAATTAACAGCATCTGGACAATGGAAGGTGGAAGCTTTGTCTGGACCTGAGGAAGAATTTCTTCCAACTTTACTTTTAGCAAGACCAAGTCTCTGAAGCCAAGAAGAGCAATCTGACGGATAGTCAATTCCTGACCCTAAAAAACACAGAAGACAAAATCCAAGAGTTGATAAAGGGATATGTGAGCATTGCACCAACATATGTATGCACAGAGACAGGAAGTGTCTGTCCTGCCCATTGCTGCTGGGGCAAAACACCCCCCAGTCACTCAGGCTGAGGATTCATAGCATTCTTTGGTTGCTTTCCTCTCAGGCTCTGTCTCACACAAATTCTGAAATAAGCGTCACGTCCTCTGAGGCACCGCTAGGTTCGGAGTGAAGCCAAAAATGGACCTGTATTTCACGAAAAGACTACATATTCATGAAACCCACTTTGATCACAAACATTCAAAGCCCAGGGTGGATGTAGCTTGTGGTTTTGCCACTCAGAGCTGAGAAACCAGACAAGGTTTGTTAGGGAAAGAAGTTGGTGCAGATTATTCCTTAAGTAAGCCTACTTGTGATACACGTTGGATTCTGGTTTTGCTCAGTGTCTGCAACTTAGACCTTGCTGATATGACAAAAATCCACAATTCAGTCCATTACAGATTTTAGGATTTAGGTTGGAACAAAGCTAGCCAGACTGCTTGAATCAAAAATAATTTTAAAAAACAACAGCTTCGATATTCACTGCAAGGCATTCCATGTCCTCACAGCTACTTTTTTTAAATCAACAACACAAGTGAGCAGGCTTAATGGACGATGTAATATTTCTCAGCATATTTAAACACAGTCAAACTCCATTTGGCATTCTGGTGTTACCGCCTTTCCCGCTGCTATGCTTAATGTCTGAATGACTTTCGCTTGCCCCACTGCAGCTTAACAGCAGAAATTTTCCTCCCAGCCCCGCCCAGTACTCTCCAGCCTGAAAAGTTTGCCTTGTTATTCTCAGCATGTTAATCTCTGCCCCATAGTCTGTTTGGGAATCATTTTATGATCTCCATAACACACTCAACATGGCAAATATTTAGCTGGAAGGAATTACCAGCAGTTAAACATTAATTCATAATAGGTTTAATGTCATAATTAACAGCATCATCAATATGTAAATATGAATTAAAGCAAATAGTCCGGGGGGTAGCTTGGACATAATAAAAGCACTTTGTGGTTTTAAACCACCACGGTGTGTTTAGAAACATGGAGGTGTAGTTAAGATCAGTACGTATCTCAGAACTGTATATCAGCAGCTGCAAACTTTTTATTTATATCATGCAGTTTAGCCCCATTAACTTCATACCCCATTTCAAAATGCAAACATGTTTGTGTGCCAAACAAAACAAGATTTGTTATTCTTTTTTCCATATCAATAGTCACATCAACAGCTGCAACTATATAAAAGCCAGTGACCTGTTTACATAGTTTCTCTCTGTACAGCAATTTAACCAACCTGGCTGCTTAAAGGTCATATTTTTGCAACAGCTATGAGCCTCGGGTTTAAACTTAGCTGAGATAGGAAGTTACTTCTAGTTACTACCTTTGGTAACATACGCTCACACATTTGGCTGACTTAGTTTCATTCTGAATGGGCAGTTGCTGGGATCACAGAAGAGCACAACTAAATAATCGTGCTGACATTTGCAGGAAAGGACAGGGAACCAACAACAAACTGACTTTCCCATCTACCAGAGTTGCGTGCGAAGAACTGAAGCTTGATGAAAGACTTGCTAGATGAGCTCTCTTCACACGTTTGACACATTACGTAAATGGTTATGTATAGTTCCCCATTTCTAGGTAAAGTCCAGTCTTGTTATTAGGACACTGGCCTGGGATAAGAGCAATTTTTTATACCCTGTTGCACTTGCAACTGTCTCTGTGGTGCCTAGGGCAGCTTACTCTGGGTCAAATTCTCAGATGCATTGAGGCAGCTTAATACATACATTTGCGTAGAATTTAAGGTGCCTACAAATCTTTAAATATGCTGTTACCTTTGTTCCTCATCCATAAAATGGCAATACTTGCCTAACTTTACAGCTTCTATGATATATTTTGAGTGATTTAGATACTGTTCCAAGAGAAATACAGCAAAAAAACTGTGCTTTCAAAGAATCTCAATGTTCCATAGTCACACTTTCACCACTATAACCAAGTTACTTCCAAAGCTGTACCCACAGTGCTGTAATTTTTGTTCAGTTTCTGATCAGAGACGTTTAAATAGCAGGGGAGTAGATTTTTCTGGTAAGAGGCAGAACTCTTAGCATCAGTGGGTATGGCACACACTCAGCTATTTCCACAGTACACAGGCAGCTGCAGTGCAGACAAACTCCTGCCTAAATAGATGAGGTCACTCCCTCACTGTGAATTAATTGCAAAAGGAGAGAAAAAGATAGTATTATAATTGCACAGTTTTACCTGTCAAACACCTACCTTTAAGCATCTGCAGCAAGGAAAGAACAAAAATAAACACAGTAGAAAGGTTAGTGTCTGTCTTTGCAGAAGTCCTTTCTCTTTCAGGATTAGAGGAAAAGGGCAAGCTTTGAGCTTTACCTGCTGCCTTTCAAGCAATACAAGGGAAAAATAATTTTAAAAGGCTCTGGAAATAATGTCTTATGGAAGAGGCAAAAGTCAAGAGGAGGAGACTAGCATTTCCAAGAACGTCATTCTCTGCATGAGGTACATTCTTTTTTTCCTCCCATGGAACATAATTAGGCTGCTTGTATAGAAACCCTGACTAAGCCTACATTAAAAAATGATATGGGTCAGTACTTCTGATGGGATACTCAGCTTTCAAAATACCCAGTGTAAAAAGGTCTTACACAAAATTGTTCATTCATCATTAACCCACAGATTTATGTGACCCCTTATTAAAGCCTAGAAAAACCCAGCTGAGGATTACCCAAAAGCACAAATGGGATACAAGCCCTCCAAAGCAATTAGGGGTGAGTTCAACCTGTTTTCTCCTGACCTTTAGATTTGTCCCTCTGAAGACAAGTTGTCAGTGCTGTCATCTGCACCAAGAGTGCCAGCTACTTAAAAATGGAGGAACCATAAAAACTCAGAGCTTCAGTCTAGACAGGTGTAGTCCAACAGTTTCAGTGTCCAAGCTTAGCTAAGCACAGACAGAGGGTAGACAAATGGGAATAAACTGAGCCCAAAGCACTGTGTTTGTCCAGGAGATTTCAGAAGTCCTTCTTACACAGCTAATTCTGACTTGGACAAAGTCTACTTCCTCACAGATTTAGTTTAAAGGTTTTGACACCTATTCAGCCACTGGTCAAACAGTGCTGCTAGCAAAGAAGTTTCCATCTGCCATTAGCAGGCACTGAAGTTACACTGCTTTACCTGACTGAATTATAATTAAGATTACCTGGACCGGGTAGAATATTGCCTGAAGTGTAGGCAGAGTTTCTGTAAAATAGTGATCCCAGATTTCAGACAGGACATCAATGCGATCCTCACCTAAAGAAACAGAGATTGGGAGCAAAGACTTTAGTGACAGGGACACTAAAATCAAGTTTGATTTTCCAAATACTCTGTAATTTCCCAAATAAGAGCTACAAACCCACCCTTCACTTTCACAGTTTCTGCCCAAAACTGGACATTGCCCGGCTAAGCTTCACCTTAGCTGGCAGAGACACAGGGCTGTGACTATAAATTGTTCTGTCGCTTACTGCAAAGAGAACAGCTCTGTGCAAAACATGAGGCCAATTCCAAAAAAGGAGTGAAGTCCCTCTTCAACTGGAGGCTTTAAGTCCACAGCAAAGGACTGTACAGTCTCACAGCTCACAGCACACCTCACTAATGGGGGAACAGCCACACATTAGCAGGTGAATCTGAAATCCAGCGGATCACAGCCAACATCAACTGATCATCCAGCATCATCCAACTGAGTCAGCAACTGAGTCAGGGAGACCACTCACAAGAGCTGAGCCCCCTCTGGCATCCACCAACTACCAAGCAGCAGTCAGAAACCCGACAAGGCACAAAGCCACTGTGCTTCTCTCGAATGCGGTACTTGGGAAGGTTCCTGAATGGAATTCACTTGTGGCACCCCTCATATGACTCCAACTTAAACAAACACGCCCAGAAGTGGGTACTTAAAATGAAGGAAGACTAAGTTGTGCATCTTGTGATTCCCAGGACAAGAATACAACTGTGATCAAATTATGCTCATAGGATTGTCTTACAAAGCTGTGCGCTCCTCAGCAATTAGGCTAAAAGCCTCTAAGTTTTTAGGAGTTTTTTCCCATCCCAAAGTCTAAAGGTTTGCAATGTTTTTTCAGATTTTAGATACATCCCTAGAAATTTCAGGTGCAAATACAGACACAGGTTTAAAAGTACAACTTTCTGACAAAAGGATTTTCCAGGATACATTCCGTAGAGCCCTAGCTGGAGGTTAAATGCAGTCAAGACTCAAGGAGCAGTAATGTAAGATGGACACTCAAGACAGATTTGAAGGCTCAGCCTCAAAGTGACTAAAAGCCCTTCATGAGGAACTGGAATACACATAAAATTGCAACTCAAAGGAGCCTTATCACTCTGTATTGAAGTGCTTTCCGCATCTGGGGACTTCCACATGGCCTTTCAACATGCTTGCCCATGGGTTGTGCAGCTTAGGGCACAGTCAGAGAGCAGAGAGCCAACAGGACAAGATCCTGCAGACATTTTACTTTGAGCAGAGAACCCATCAAAAACCACAGAAAGGCTCAAAGGGAGTCTTCACTGTTTCAGGTATGACTCTGGCTTCAAAACTGGAACTGCAGGCGGACGAGAACCCACACAACACCCCCATAACAGCTAATCATTACCAGCAACAGCCGAGTGAAAGGGAAAAAGACAACAGGAAACAGACTAATTGAATGTTTAAATTTTTTCCTCCTCTGCCTCCTCCCCAGGACTGCAATGCTTTTCTGTGTGGAGACAGAATTAAATGTCATAGATCACTTCTCCTTCTGAAGGGGAAGCAGGAAAGGTTTGTTTCTTCAAGAAGTTATAAATCCTACAGGTGTTGAAAGAGATTCTGGCAGACTGCATAAAGAAAGATTGTGATTGAAAAACAGACACAGTAAAACACTGCCATGCCCTACAACAGGAGCATTACTCTGTGTCTGAGTGCTGGGGTAGTAGAAATTTTCCAGGAAGACAGAGATAACTGAGAAAAGAAGAAATTCTTGTTGCTGTTACCACAAGACCTGCAACAAGCCTACATGTTATGAAAAAAAGGTGCCCATGAGTCATCTGCAGAGATGCCAGACTGCACGCAGACAAAGTGTCTCCCAGTGTCACTTTAAACTAGGGACAGGTATCTGCCTAGGAAACCTCATCTTACCCAAACTGCTTGAGCATCTGCAAAATACTCTTGGGCAGCTCTCAGCTTATTACAGATTCGAACTCAATTTTCCTAATGCTAAAGCAGATAATGGAATAGTTTTACATGAATATAGAAACCAAGTCTATGATAAGCCGAGCAGCACTCATTCTGAAGAGCTGGTTGTGGCAGATCAGGTACCCACATTGGAGAAAAAGCAGGAGTCTGCCTTTTTTCCTCCCTTACAGGGCCAGTGCCAAAGGAGCACACACCAAGCAGCAGGCTGAAAACTGCTGAACTCCTCCGGGGACCAAATCCTACAGTCTGCCAGCTGGATGAAGTCATTTGGTGAAGAACAGTGCAGAGGAATCCAGGACCAGCAATCATGTGAGATTATAAGCATCTATTGGCATTTAATGACCCACATAAAACAGACTGGTGATTAGTAAGAGATCTTCCTACAGGCTACAAAACTGGGTCAAACCAAACAGCAGCTTAGTTTTGAATAAAGACTTGCTTGCTTTGCTTGAGCAAACAGTTACTAAGTGTGACCAACTCCCCACACATCCAACAGAGCTGCTGCACCACACTAGCCTTGGTCTACAGACACTCTGCAGTTGCAAGTGTCTGTACCCCAGTGGTCTGAACAGAACTTTGTGTCTGATCAATTTCTTTCCTAAAGGATTTCATTCTCACCAAAGGAACCTTTTTTTTCTTTAAATGTACATGAAGTTCAGCTCTCAAAAGCATGACAGAGTAACTAAACTTGTGCTTACATCAAGCTGCAAATTACATTCAGAAATAAAAGGCAGAAGGCAGTTCCAAGAAGTTTTGCAACAGGATCCACATCCAGACCAGAACAGCTCTGAGCCCAGGTTCAACTGCCACACAAAACCCACATTTCTGTTCTCATGATAAAGTCATGGCCGGTGGGAGCATTGTGACTCTGTGGCTATTAAAACAGCCCTCCATCCCTCCAGCTTCACAAGGGCTGCAGTGCAACCTGGCTTCTGAGGGGTTGTGTGACACCCTACTACAGTACCAGAAGGGGCTGTACAGTTTCTAGACATGCAAAACATCTTGTCTGACCAAACATCAAAGCACAACTCCCTTCTGAAACAGGTTACTACTATACTTGCCTTCACACAGCTTGACCTTCTCCTCCATAAATAGCAAGCCTTTCGCAAGGAGCTGGTTCTGCCAAGAGAGAAGAGAGACGTGCATTTGCCTTTTCTGAGATCTATAATAAACATATAAGAATGATTTTTTTCAGATGTTATCCACTATGCATGCAGTTATCTAAAGGTTAGGCATATTGTAGTGCCTTCTTCCAGCACTGGTCTCAGTGTGAGTGCTATACTTTCATTAACCCCCTCTTGTTCAGCTGCACATGAGAACACAACAGACACAGCAGTTGAAACACTTGCCAGAAGTAGGAAGGGTCACAGGGAGGGAATCAAGAAAATAAAATGGCTCTTACCATAATAGTGCAGCCACATAAGCTATCTCTCAGTCAGGTGATGGAAGTGATCAAAGGGCCAAATGCTATGAAAATGTCCCACTCTTTTCTTCCTTTGTACTAGCTCAGTGTTTGCTTAACTGCACAGTAAGTCAGTTCAGTTTTCTAATATCCACTTCTCTATTCCTACCTATTCCCTTTCAGTGAGGCTATTTCTTTTGCTATACCGAACAGTTGGCTTATCTCAGTATGTAGTCCCAAGCTACAGAAGAACTGGCAAGAGCAAGTCCTTCTAGATAAACTCAACTATCATGGACCAGACAGGTCGAGATACCAATACGCCCATTCACAGCTCACAACATTTAAATATCTGATTAGATTTTTGTTCCCACTTCCCCAAACATAAGAACGGTGCAAAAACAATGCCTATCTTTTTGTTCTCCCAACAGCACTAGGTGAATCAGTTATTAAGGTCTGAGGATCCCAGAGAAAGGTGCTGCAATCACCACATAACATACTATTACTGCATCCTAAAAGATATAGTCCTACTACAGAAATTATACTGATAGAGAATAAAGCCTTCTGTCCCTCTGAAAGAATTCAATATCAGGGTAGCACACAATGCATAGAGATGCCTCCACCCTTGTTCATCATACAGCTTTTGCTTTTAAGTGGGTAACCAGGTCAAAGTTGCACTTTTGAACCTTCTATCAGTAGAGGAGCAAGGCACATCTTTCTTCAGTCCCGGTGGACCCTGCTGTCACACCACTGCCTGGACACCATCAGGGCCTCCTGATGAGCTGCCATATTGCATACCTGCCCTGGCACTACTGCTCTGGGTGATGAACCTGCCTCCTGTAACCATATACCAGGCTGGCTCATCCATGACACACACAGGACCAGGCAACCAGGAAAGCCACCGCAAGCAAAGAGAGCAGCACACCTCTGCATCCTCCCTTCAACGAGAAGGAATGCAAATCTGGAGTAGTGTTGTAAAGTATAAACAGAAGGAAACAGTGTTCTGTGACATTCTCAGCCTGGGAGACACTCTTCAACTGGGGAATGACAATAGGAATCAGCAAGTTGGACAAATATGTTCACAAATTGAAAAAAACTGCAAGATTCCAAAACATTGCTAGCAACAAATGGAAGGTGACTGTTTTGCAAAGATTCTCTAGCCAAAATATGGGCCTTGGAGGAAAATATTAGGTTGTTGGACACCATTCAGGTTTTAGATTTGTTCAACAGAAACAATGGACTACACATGTCATGCTCTGGACAACAACAACAACAAAAATTACTTTCCAGGGGAAAAAAAAAACAATGCGAAAAAGGAGGGAGGAAGAAATCTGGAATGAAAAATATCATAATGTGAAAAAAAAATGAAACCCACTTACACTGTAGATATTTTTGTGTCTGAAAAATAAGATAGTGTTGAAGTGATATTGCACTTTAATCCTTCCAAATGCTTTCAGTTTATCAATAAAGTAATTTCTTTATTTTTCAATTTGTAGATCAAGGTAATTACCTCTCATATTCTTCAGGGAAAATTTATAGCTGGTCTTTGATACTGTGTCATTTTAACCTACTTTATAATAAAAAGTATGCACACACATATATATATATATGAGGGTGTCACCTTTTTTTTTTGTTTTTTTCTCAAGAAATATGAATTCTTTTTCTACCTGCACTAGAACATTAGGTTTCAATTTACATATGTTTCCTGAGCACTGTGGCTACAATCTTTCAGCTGCTTTGCTTAAAAGTTAGTATTATTGATATTTTCTACTTCCAGAGAGGAGAGGTTTTCTTTATTTTACAGCTATGTCAGCAACCAAAATACACAGTTGTACACAGTAATGAACAGAACAGTTATATCTGTTAAAAATATATATTAGTAGTAAAGAATTTATAATGCTCCTGTGAATGTCTTATCAGTACTTCCATGTGCTAAGCAGATTGCATTATCTCATTTTTGAGGTTTCTTCAAAAGTTTAGGTCCCTATAGTTACTACAGATGTTTCGCTTGTCTTTTCAGGTTTTCCCTTTTCCTATAGAAGAGACTCTAAAAAAAACCCCACAACACTTAATATCCCTTTTCCCCATCTTAAAAATATCTGGAAATTTTACTTATCCATCTTTTCTGCTAAAGTCACAGGGTTAGAAATTGATTCAATCCAAACATTAATCCTTCATATCAAGCCAGACAGGCAAATTGTCATTAAAAAACCCTACAGGGTCTGCTGACAAATCAATACAACCTAATAAATGCAGCCACAGCAGAGGTCTGTATCAGACCTTGTCTAGATTACATAGTCTTATTTTGATGCTGCATCCCTTCTTGCCAGAGGCAATCCAGAGGCACAGAGCTAAGAGCATAAATAAATCTATTTGCAAGCAAGGAGAGATAAAGACTCACACCAAGTAAGCTTGAAGGATGCATTTACTTGAAAAAGTTTAGCTTCCACCTTTTATCTCTTTCCACTTACAGCCGAACTGTGAGCTTTTGGAGGATTTTGGGAAAGGAGTTATTCTCTTCCCTCCCCAAATAAGCTTTTCCGGGTTCCCCAGGGTGAAATTCTCACCCTGCTGTTGGGACACCATGAGATGTTAGACACTCATTGAGGGGGGTGCAAACCTGCCCTAACTCCTGCTACAGAAAAGAATGATGTGCAGAGAAACAAAGTCTCAAGTTAACACCCCACACGTACATGCAGTTGAGAAATTTGGAGAGAGTTGTTTTGCAGCAGATAGAAGTGAGCTTGTGAAATCTCACAGGTTGAAACCCTCATAGTTTTCTCAGTGCAGAAAACCACAATAGCTGTTTCAGGTATACCACTAAGAAGAGCAGCTAAGAGAAAGCCTTAAGTAAGTTTTGAAAAGCCATAAGTTTTGAAAGACAGGCTTCAAAGCTAAAATACTCACTGTATTTGTTCCTCAGCAAAGACCCTCCCACAATGTGTGTGTGCTTGCTACTCTTTAAAGTAAGCTGCGCTGAAATTATTGGGAATCAAATAAAATTTTGAAGGCAGTCACACACCACACTGTAAAACATATATGCTTAGCAATTCCTTCCATTTTCCTGGCACAGATATTTTCCTCTTTCCCTGCCCTGTTAGAGAAATTGAGGCAAGTTTCTCCATTCATACCCAGTGGAGTAATTCCAGTTACCTCACCTTCTCAGAAGGTGGAACCTATCCCAGGCACAACAATTGGGGCTCCTCTCTCAAACCAGCAGTGCCAAATACCTTCTCCTGCCCTCTACCTTGGCAGGAGTCGGTCATCCCCAATGCGGGCCAAGGAGGCCCTTCCCATGCACACTCCCACTACGCTCTGGGCAAAATGGTACCCATCTGACTTTGCCTGGGGCAAATAAGATGTTGGCTGTCAGAAGCACTCTGTCAGCAGCCTGGTTGTGGTGACAGCCTCTGGACAGACCCAACAGGAAGGATTTCGGCATGACAGCCCTGCCACTAGCACAGCTTACTCTGCTGTGGGTGGTATATTCAAACAGAAGGGTGCCAAGAAACAACTAAGTAGTCTTGGCAGCAATTCCACAGAAACCATCAAGGAGGCTCGAGCCATCACAGGGAAATTCACATCTTGTCTGAAAGCCACATCTGCAGCATAGCAGGGTATAAATGAATTCTTCTCCTAATAAAAAAATAAGCCATTATCTTTGGGAAAAAAAATTTTACACAAGCACCCATTCAATTATGGACAAATTTTGCGTTCTGGTCACGTCTCCAAGAAAACATGGCCAGCATGCCTTTTAAAAGCCACCGTTAAATTAACACATTAATTAATACTAGTTCATCAAACAGCATAAGTTTGGAACAGAAGAAAACTCCAGAACATATTCAAAATAATTGACCTCATTTTGTAGGGTGAAAAAAAAAATTAGTTTTTCTTCTGCACTTTACAGCATTTCTTCAGTTCAGCCCCCTTTTCTAGCTGAAAGCTGAGGCTTTGTGTTCTAGTGCTAAACTACACTTTTACAGCCTCTGCAAACACATGGTCACTGTTTTGTGGATAATCTGATGTTAATTTAAGATAAAAGGCACCACCCAGACTTACTTGGAAGGTATTTTCTACAAAGTTATTGTCAGTTGCACACATACACCTACCTGTTTGTTGAAACTGTTTTACAAAATGTGAACTTGTGTGAGCTGCAGTATCTCATACCTACAGCACTCCCCTTTCTTTTTTCTCTAAAAAGAGAGAAAATAGTGACAAAAAAACAGAGAGCCTTTCAATCTTACGTGGAGAAGAGGTTGCAAGATAAATATGAAATAACATCCCCAAATTATTCTTCTTAGAGCTGGCTTTGTTCACAGCAGATTAAAAAAAGCCTAGTTAAAGAGAGAAAGTGAGGCAGGGAGGGTAAGAAGGATAGCAGACCAGGCAGACCAAGCAGGCAACACTGCTACAGTCTAGAGCACAAGGTGCCAGCCAGGCGGCAGCTGTGGGAATATCCCACAGCCGGGCCCCCTGACTCTGCACTGTGAGTCACTGCTGCAGGTGGGAACCCTGCTTAGCCAGGGCATGGCTCACTGCCCCATGCCACACTCTGAGCGATTCACACATGTCTACAGAGTTAATGTGAGCAGGGCCTGAAAGCATTTGTCCCTGCTGCTGCCACCCGGGACTAAGTCCTCTGCTCGATAACAGTGAGGAGCTCCCGGGGGACCCCATCCACGGCAAAGAAGCTAGATAGTTGCTATGGAGTGCCTGGAGCTGCCCCATGAAAACTCAGTCCTAGAAAGTGCCAGATGAAGCAGAAATAATTAGCAGACCTGCACGAACAGAGGTTCCCAGCCAGTCAGGAGAGAAATACAATAATAAAGACCAGCTTGACCCAAAAGAGTATTGCAGACATACAGCTGAGCTCTGCAAATCATACAAGTGTGAATTCTCTTTCTTGTGCAGCAGCTCAGCTGCTGCAGCCTCTGGTAGCAGGCATGAGACAGTACTTAGCCAGAGAAGAGCTAATGTCACCTGTGTTCAGAAATAACCATCACTCCAATAACCTATACAACTATTTCCTTGCTTTGCTTTGAGACAGGTAGACATAGAAACCTGGCATCAGGAAAAGATACATCACACACCAGATTTTTCCCTTTGACTAAGCAGACACATGGTATCTCCAGCTGTTAGCTAGGCTTTACAAAGCAGCTTTTCAAAGGAGAGAGCAAGCATCACGAGAGATGCTGGAGTCATCTCTCCAGGCTGGAGTCCCAGAAAAACATGCAGCAGGGACCTAAGCAAGAGCTTCATGGTGCCACCGTAGAGGGAGGAGTGCATGTTTCTCCCTCCCACTGTGGCCACCTTGCACAGCCCGCAAACCTACAGCTAGAGAGACTCTGAGCCACAGGCTGGTTCACCAGTACCACTTCTAACTGCCCCAAAGGGAGAAGATAAAATCAGTTTTGGTTTGGATCCAGGCTTGCCTCATCACTAACACTGCTTACTTTTCAGCTATCCATTATCACCTTGCTCTTTTGACTTTGCATGATACCCCACAATGTGTGTGCTCGCATGCTGCAGTTTCTGTGGCTTCGCATACAAAGAGAAAGCCAGGTCTAATTCTGAGTCAGGACTTGCCGCCTCCGCTGGCTCTCCACTGCAGCAGGTTGGAAATTATGTAACAGCTTGCTTCTGATTTTAAGACATCAAAGCTCTCTTTGGATGAAATAACGAAATACAGTCCACTCGCCATTCCTCAGCTGCCATCTCTGCCAGGGCAGGAAGTGGACGTAGGCTGAAAAGGCATCAGCTCCGGGCATTTGACTTTCTGCATTTGCAGCCCGTATGTTCTGGGAGAGGATACAGTGCCTGGGAAGGGATCAGGTCTCTCCACCCTGGGAGAAGACAGTTTGGAGTTAGTATGCATAAATGCATTTGCTTTTTCCGCTCCCCATGAGTTTCAAGATTAACGAGTCCCCAGAGAGTGAAAAGAAGCAGTTCATCCTTTCCAAAGGTTTTGTTTCAGGCTGTTTGCAGAATCAGGCTGATAATGCATCAGTTCATCAATACTCACTAATTTTATACTTAAAAAATTTTCTCCACAAGCACAAGGGTCAAAGAGCAGGAAAATAAAGGGAGCTATCTTGTCCAGCTGCACCAGAAAAGTCCTAATCACCAATACACCCTGTTCCTTCAAATCCCAGGCTCTTATCTTCCACGGTCATAGGATTTCTCCATGTTGTTGTTCAGCTGACCACCAGCAAAGCAACCCAGCAGAGAAAGCAAAAGGTGAGCTACTGGGTTACTGAACTAAGAGGTGAGTGCAAAGTGTCCCTTTTCAGCAGCAGGAAGCTGTTGAATCAGTTAATGGGCAAAGTCGGTAATGCAAAACCTGGAGCACAAAGCCCTGCTTTAAGGCAGATCTGCAGCAAATACTGCAAATCTCAACTATTTAGCATTTACACTCAGACTCCTAACCAAGGAGATGGATTGTATATATAGTAGGACTGCTAAAGCAGCAGATCTATAAACACAACTCTCCTTCAGAAAGAAACATCTGAGTTTGCACTGAAACTCTTACAGGAATTATATTTCTCTTTCAAAGACAACAGACTCACTAACTCTGGCGTGATGATGGTTTGGTAGCAGAAAAAGACTGCACAAACTCCAACCATTTCCTAAACATTCTTTTAGCAATCTCAGGACCTAAAAACTGTTAATTTGCACAAGTGTTGATGAAAAGGACTTGTGAGTAATCAAATCAAGTTGATCACAAAGGTAGCTTTGTCTCACTATAAAAGCTATGTTCCATTTTAGTCTTGTATATTCAGTGGTTAGAAAAAAATGTGCATGTGTGAGTTTATAAAATATACATAATGCAAAATCATGAACTCTTAAAGCAAATGTGATTTTAAACGTTATCTTAGTGACTCCTGTTATAAGTGCTGTGGCATAAGAAATGGAAAACATTTAAGTCCATTTATCTCATCTAAATATTACATGATTAAGTTAGTTGCTCTGATTGCTGCTAGGATGTTTAAAACTCTCTGGCTAAACAGATGGCATAACCTTCAGGGTCCATTTCAATCTAAGAGGACAGAAAACTTGGTTCTTGGGATAGCTTTCAATGGGCCTTAACGGATGGAGGAGGAAGTCACCGCCAAAAGACTCCACTCTACATACTGGTGACCCACTCCCAGCACCTCCCCCATGTCAGAGGTGATGACCACAACACGTCAAAGGAAGTAGTTGAAAACTTTATTTTTTTCTTTCAAGGTTATTTTTCAGCCAAATCAGCAGCTTGATTCAACTCTGCTCATTTTGGTGGCGCAGTATTGCCGTAATTCCGCTGGTATCAGCAGTGAAACAGAACCCACAGACAAATGAAATAATGTTGTCAGCCCTTCTATGGCACATGAACGTTCTTTATCCACTCCATGGTCCTAGGATTTTTGAGGAAAGACATTCAGGAGGGAGTGATAGCTTTTATCATTGCCATGTGCTGTTAGTCTAGAATCAGAAATAAGTCTGCATCTTACCTCACAGAGGGGAAAAAAAATCTCATTTCCAACAATAGCCTTTATCTCACAGTTTGTCTCACAACTTGCCTACACTAAGAGTTTTACTTCAGGCTAAGTCTGATGGATGCCAAGTTACGCCTTGTAACACTGAGCAAAAATAACCCAGAAATTAAATTTGAGTGCCAGTGGCTGCTGCCAGACCCCTCTCAGGCTCTAGGAAACGTCCTGCCACGCGACACCAGCAGCCGCCTCTTTGCAGTAAACAACTTGTGCAGAGAGGGTCTGAGGAAGTGGAACATAACTATCTCTGGGGCAGGAGTTTGCTTCTCACTTGCCAGCACAGCAGGGTTTTTTTTTTTTAAGTCTTGTAATCTAATAAATCATGTAATCTGATAGGAAACAACACTAGTCTTCGTTTTCCTCCTTTGAGCTGTTAGCATGGTACAAAGCGGCATCAGCCGCTTCAGAAAGTACTGAAATTTTCTGTCTCTCTCTTACTCAAAGGGAGAAAAACCCTCATGTTTCCAGCAGTGTCTTTTGTTTTAATCAACGCTACACTGATCAAATTAAAACACTGAAAGCTATCAGTGCTTTCTCAAAATCATCCAACAGGCTTTCATGTGGTTACATGTCTGTCTACCTGGACAGTATCAGTAAAAGGCAACAACACTTACTCACAATTGTGATTGTTCAAGTCTTCCCTCATCCTTCATATATTGCTTTTTCAGAAGTTGCATTTGTATTTATGGGACTAAAAAGCAAAAAGTACCCAGGTTGATTTCCTGCTGATAGAAACTTCCTTCTCTGTGCCCCCTTCTGCCTCCAGGCAGCTATTATCATTTCTCTTCCCCTTTGCTGGCCCCTGTTGCAGAAAACCTAATTCTGAATTTTCTGTTCTAGAGAAAATGTATCCCATCTTCTTAAAAAAATTCAAGTGAATTCCTTCTTGATCTTGGCAGGCTACTAGCAGCCTTTCTTAATAGCAAAGGAAGACCATCCTTAATTTTGCACATACTTCTCTAAATATGGTTACTCCCAAGGCTACACAGCTTGCATTTAAAAAGTCCAGTACCTCCAGCAGCCTGTGTAGGAAAATAAAAATGAAACGTGTAGGCTACACGCATGTAAAGAGGTGTCCTAATTTTTTTTATAGGCTAAAAATCTGAAGAGAGCAAACCTCAAAACAAAGCAAGGAAATCATGCAGTACCTGAAAGTAATCTGTGATGAAGGATCCGAGTTCACTCTTCAGCAGCCGTCTGTAGACAGAAGGAACGCAGCCATGAAGTAGCAATCATTGCTGGTCATGTCTTACAGGTATATCTACACTTTACTACCAGTAATACCAAAGATATGGGAGAACACGTGAATGTGTGATTTTGGCCACAGTTAGATTTCTTTTACAGTTACATAAATATTTTGCAAGTGCCCGCAAAGGCTATCGTCAAATTTTAAAGGAATGAAAGAGTTTCTCTGAAGTCTACATGCATCTAGAACAAGTGAAAAAAACCCCAAAAACATTTACCCCCTTGAATAAAAAGAAAGCTGGGGAAACAATTTATTTAGATTGAAATCCATATTTTTTCCTGGTTTTTTGTTTAAACAAAGGTGTCTTTCATTCTGCTGAAGATAGCATATCTCCCTATTGTTGTGCTTCCTTTTCTCTTGGAAATAAAAAATGGGAGGATAAGGAGAAGAGAAATCAAGCAGAAGCTGCAGCTTCCCCATCGCTACCAGATCACAAAAAATAAAAGAGAAGACATTTTTCAAGAAAGAGTTTCTAGATATTCAACAAAAGCTGTTTTTAATACATGTGGGCAGAAACCATTCTAAAGAAGTCTTTCTAATTGAAACTGTTGACTTTTAAACTACGCTGTGAGAAAAGCTTTAAATTCTAATACATATTTATATTTCAAAACACCAGTATAAAAATCAGGATTGTCTTACATCAGAAGAGGCATTAAAATACAACTTACAAAGTTTAGTATGTTTGCACTTTCAGCTTTCAGTGACTGAACATAAATCCTATAGCAGTAAATTCTGCCTAAAACTTAAAAGTCCCCCAACACTTTCCATTGCCAAATATTGTGGGGTCTCCTCTTAATCATTGCCTCTTGCTTCCTGAAATTCCATCTTGCAGTGGCATTTCTTACATTTCCTCTTGCTGTCACAACTGACTTTCAGAGCAGTTAAAAAAAAAAAAAAAAAAAAAAAAGCCAGAAACATGGTATCAAATCACAACAAAATGTTACCACCTGCTCATCTCCTGGTCCTGTCATTACTGTCCTCTAAAGCGCTCCTGTGTTTCCCACTGTCAAATGGCTAAGCATAGCACAGAATCTGAGTCTCTTATTGCATTTGTTAGCTACAACCAAGGAGCTGAATGGAGAACTACGAAAAAGGAAAACGCACCAGCTCAATCAAATGGACACAAAAGCTGGATGTCTGACAGGTCTGGCTTTTTGCCCAGTGTCAAGTCAGAGATTCACCTCACACACATAGAGCTAACGCTGTGTTGGGAGCTACACCAAGAACCACAGGTGCGAGGCTGCAGGTGTTCATACAAATATAAATGCAGATGCACGTCCTTCGCTCCTTAGATGGACATTAATGAGCTACTTGAATGTTAAATGGCCTATTTAAAGAATGACATTTGGAGATGTAACCAATGCTAAAGGCACCTGCAGGAACATTACTCATGTATGTCAAGGTGAGTGCTTCCAAGTACTGCTTAGGAGTGCATGTCTGTGGAGGAGGGCATTTCCCCTTCCACCATCAGCGCTGCTTTCAAAGGATATACAGCTCACAAAGAATTTCCTGTTCTTTGCCTGACTCTCAACAGTCTAGATTCACTTCAGTAACCAACATGAAGCACGGTTCACCCGCTGGGGCCAAGCCCAGGCCACACAGCACTTCTGCCCTTTGTACTGCCTCTCTACAAGGTTGGGAAGGAGAACCTGCATGCACTGTGGGGGTACAGCAGGATGCAGCCACTGCCGTGGGCAACAGCTGGGAAGACAAGTCACAAAGCCCAAATCCAGTCCCCAGGTCTGCTAACAGGCTGTGGGTTAAGGTATTTCCCAAGCCTTATTACATTTGTTTTTATTTTCACATTCAGAAATAGTCATCCCATGGAGAATTAAGACTGCTCCAAGTACTTAAACCTAACTTGAGGACTTCTGACCCAAACACACCAAAGTACCATTAAAGTATGAAACGCTGCCCTTGCTCAACTCTCAAAAGGAATTATATTAAACTTTTCTGGTTTGGGAGCAGACCAAGTCGGACAGAGTCTCCTGCACTGATAGCTGCATTTATTTTGAAAGTAGGGAAAGGGGTAGTTTAGAGTGCTGCTCAGCACATGCTTAGCTCAAATTGCCATTTGAACCTTGGAGTTCAGAAAAAATGCAATAAGGGTGGGGGAAGGGCATACAAAAGGAGGAGAGAGACAGCACTCTTGATGAATGAATATGAATGTAGTCATAAAGAGAGGAGGATAAGCCTACATCCATGAACCCTGACAATACTCTTAGCAGGACTTGAAACCAAGGCAAGAATAAATTATTCTTTATCTACTCTACAGTCCTATCTATTGCTAATCAAACTTTCCAACTAATCAGAATGAAACCACAGATAATCATGAAACCTACTTTTAAAAGAAAATGATACTTTTAACCATCACTAGCATCAGTGCCAGATGATGTTTGGTAGGGTGTTAGTTTTTTTATCTTAAGGTTCATATTTTCAGGTCTTGCTGTGCAATTATCGTGTGAAGATTAAGCTTTCAAATTAAATGTTGGGGTTTGTTTAAACACTCCCCCATTCTGAGAAGCTTGGTTTTAGAAAAGAGATGTTACTATCTTCGCAGTTTCCGTGACAAAAATGTGTAAAAATAGCCAGAAGAGGCGTAGTCCCCAGGAAGGGACAAAACCCTTACAATTCAAGTCAATAAACAATCTGTCCTTGTTAAAGCTACATATCCATGCAAGTCAGACAAACATTATCCAAGTACCCCATACCATTCACTTCACCCAATAGCGAGAAAGAAGGAAGTTATCCTGAAACCCCAAAACTGTGCTTAAGTTTGCTTTGACCCCCCTGCTCCTCCCACTAATATTCTTTAACTGTGGTTCTGTAAGGGAACAAACCCAAGCAAACACCAAATGAGCAGCAATTAAAATCCATTTTCACACATTTCAGCAACCTACCTGATATTTTCATTGAGGGTGTAAAGTTCATTGTTTTGCAAGCCTCCTCCTTTGAACACATTTATCACTGCTGTTTGAACACTGTTAAAAAAGAAATGAGACAGTGTAACATCTGTTAATAACAGCCAGCAGTTTGATTTAACACAGAGCACAATATGAGCTGGACACCAAAAGTAAAGTGGTTATAACCAGGTGGAGAAGTTAATTACCCTTAAATACTTCCACTCTTTCTCACCTTGAAATCATTACTGTTATTTACCTTCATCTGTCCTCAGAGGCAGAGCAGAATTAACCTCCATTTCTGTCTACTGTAAGCAAGGGAAAGTTGTTAGAGGGACACTGTTCGTGCTGCAGGTTAATTGCTATGAGGAGACACAAATTTTTGGTAATACCTGCCAAACACATCACGCTGCATTACGCAGGAACCACACAATCTGCAGCATCTGATGAGACCCTGGCTGTGCTGGAAGACATTCTGCAGTGAGCATTACCTCAGTCACACCCAAGCTTAAGTCTTGTTAATGCCTGTAAGAAGCTGTTGAGTATCTTCTAATTCATATCTCTCTCACCAGCACAGAGGAAGTCATGAAGTGACAGCATACAAGATGGTTTAGCAGGTCTAAAGGTTTGTCATGGCTAATAAGAACAGGTGTCATTCCCTTAATGGACATTCCCTTCTGTGGGCCAGTTACAGCATTTGCATGCTTCACAGACCTCAGCTCACTGTCGTGGCACAAAACTGCAGTGGTTCTGCCAGGCTACTTTTGTGCAACATTGGTCAGCTGAGCTGGGTCAGCACGAGAGAAGGGTCTGCAGAGCACAGAGCAGGTGGCAGAAGGTGGGAACACCCACTTTTGGTATCAGCACACCGTTAGATCAGATCAGGACAGAGGACATCTCATTGTTTTTTCATCACCCTTCTCATTGTTTTCTCAGTTGCTATTGCTGCATGACATGCACTGCAGACAGGACTTGGTTGTCAATAGGAAATGCTGGTAGAAGCCACAAGCTTAGTAGTTTTCAGAGGAAATTGACTGTGATAAAACCTTCATAATATGCAAATAAATTTCTCTGTGAATTAGGGAACTGTCATTTATTACAGTAGTAGGAATATGTTTTCCTAAATGTTTCTTAAAAAATGCAACTGTGAACTAAAAACAATTCTTCTTTACTTCAAGACAGTACCACTGAACAGCATTGATCCAAACCAACTGAACACTACTAGCTCTAAATTTTTCAACTCCATGGATGCTTTCAATACCAGCAAAATTTGGTCATGCCAAAAATTCATGCATGCTTATAAACAGACGAGATTAGCTATAAATGGTGTGAAGCACAAAGATAAGACATACATGGCCCTTACTGTGGAGCTGCTACAGAGCAAGAGCTCAGCCCAGGTAGATCCTGCTCACCTGTTCCAGGCAGAGTTGGAGCTGAGCTGCATAGCCTGCCTGGCTGCCTGGAACCGAGGCAAATCACTGAGGACAGGGGAGCTCATGAAGCGAGGTCGGGGCCTTCTGAACGAACCCATTTTGTGGAACTGGAGAGCAAAGGACGGAGCTATGGCGAACCCTCCTTTCATAGGGTCAGGTGGAGTGGAGCAGGACCATCAGAAAGTCTCTTCTCTTGAAGGTCCGAGCACTAATCTCAGCAATGTCAACGAAACTTCAAATCCAAGGATTCAGTCAACAGCAAAAGCAAAGAGTCAGCCTTGGACCAGCAGTTCCCCACAGTGTCAGGTTGTGACATGGGCACGCGTTGCATTATGATAAAGGAACTGAAGCAGTCCTGCAAGGCAAAAAGAAAGAAAAAGAGTAAGGCAGAGAGAAGAGAGATGAAAATATCCTGTGCCATTAACAGCAAGTTTGGGCAAATCTTCCTGAGTTCTTTAGCCGTCCCATTTCCCATCTTGCTCCTTAAATAATGACCCAACACAACTAGTCAAAAATACAAGCATGGTCTCTCTTTTGATTTCAGTTTGCAGAGATACAAGAACAAAGATGCCTAAACTCTTCTGACAGAGACACTTTACAAATACCTTTAAATAGAGTTAGCCATTCAGCCTGTATATAAAATAGTAGTAATTAGAGAAAGAGAAAACTATTCCACTAGAAAGAAAAAAAGATAAACAATGGAAGAAAAGATGAACAAACACAACGCTTTTTTTTTGAGAAGTGTTGTGCAAAGGAATAAACCCACTTGTTATCAGTTCACTACAAAAAGGATACAATGGAGAGCTTTTGCAAATGGGTTCTGACAACCAGATATTTTGAAAGTAAGCATGACTTTTATGTCTGTGTTTTTTCTACATCATGAGAAGTAATTGCTAGGCCAATTACGAAATGCCTGTATTTTCCACTCTGATCATCATCTTCATCTAGACGAATATGTAGCCCCAAGTAAACCACAGAAATAGAAGAAGTGATCTTGGATAAAAACCACAAAAAAACTTTGGCAAAGCTTCTCTACTTTGAAATCTTCCCACTTCAGATTATTACAAGCTGTAGTTGTAGTTGGCAGTTTGGAGAAAGAGTTGTGGGAGAGAGGAAAAAAAAAAAAAAAAGATAAAAAAGTTGAGTAACTGAACTGCACGTGAAGGATTTCAGGGAAAATCTTCCTATTTCTGCTACACCTTCAGCATGAGACAAAAAAAGAGATGATCAGGCAAATAAATGTTGTATATCTGCACAATGTTTCTAATGTGACTAGCGTTCAGCTCTAGGAAACTCTTTCCACTGCCTAACTATAATTAACTCATACATGTATGAGAACAGCTTTCTTCCCTCCCAACCAGCCCCATTTCACACTGAGCTCACTTTGCTACCCCACTTGTCAGATTGCATGGCCTTCTCAGATTCTGGTCAACCACCATGAAGCCATCTCAAAGCCCCTGCTGTGCCACAGACACCACATGCCCTACCAAGGAAGTTAAAGGAGAAAACATCGAGAAAACGTTTCATTTTTAGGCCCTGGAACATGTGGTACTATCATTCTTGATACTATTCAAGAAATAAATATGGTTGTTATTCCCTCACTAGCTAAATACAGCTTTCAGAGATCTCTGTGCAACTGGAACATGACTACAAGTGAAACTCTTTTCCGTCTTTAGACATCTCCCTCAGAGATGACAAAGCCCAGATGGTCTTTCGTGACACAAGCTTAGCCCTAACTGTTGTTGGTTGAAAGGTCAGCAATCTGTTGATTCTACGGCTGCTCTGTTCCAATTACAAAAAAACAAACAAACAAAAATCCCCAAAACAAAAGAAACAAAAACAAACAGAAACCCAAAAAACAACAAAAAACCACACATAACTTTCAGAAATTGAGAATAAACGTAAACTAGTACAACCAAATCATCAGGATCTTCTGTGTGCATCCTTAAGCAACAATTAATTTGACATTGCCCGCACATTTTCAATCTGCCAGCAATTTCTCTATTGACAATAGTAACCACATCAGAAATCACTAGAGGAAAAAAAGCTACAGCACCTTGGAGAGCTGAGTGCAGGCTCTTTCGACAACGGACCAAAAGGTGTCCAGGAGGTAAAGTGCTGTTTTTGTTGCGAAAGAAGAGCTTGTGCCACTGTTTGTCATCTACAAGTCCCAAAGCTGACTGCACGAGGAGCTGAATGAGTGACAGCTCATTTCTCCTGGCAGCACTGTCAAATTTGTCACTTAACAATCTTTACACACAGAAACATTGAATGGTTTGGGTTGAAAGAGACCTTAAATATCCTCTGGTTCCAATCCCCCTGCCACGGGCAGGGACACCTTCCACTTTCAGAGCTATAAAATGCTGTATAAATGTTATTTTAGACCATTTGTAGGCATTTAACAGGTCTAGAAAGCAGTGGTTACAATGTGCTAGCCCACAAGCCTTGTCCTATCACTATTCCAGGTGCCATAAGTGCATACAAGCATCTTCCTCCCCAGTAGTGAAATGATTTTATAAAGATACATTTATATTTATGTTAAGTTTTAAGGGGAAAGTTTAAATTCAGAAATGTAAGTAAGTAGAGCAACCTCTGTGACTGTATAAAATATAAAATATAAAAATAAAAAAATATAAAATATAAAATATAAAATGTGACTGTATAAAATACTCTGTGATGTATAAAATTCTTTGGCCCATTCTGTGCAAGCAGTAAAACACAATCAGGAAGGTTTCTCCTGAGCTATAGGAGATGAATTCCACACAGCAGAACCATGGCATTACACTAAGCCCCATGATGAATTTCCTGAACACTTCTTACCTAGGGAATGTGCTTAAGCTCACAAAAACATACATGTCATTTTCCCTAATGTTCCCTGGTATTCAAGTCACCAGGACAGATAATAACTAGCTTTTGTCTGAGAAGAGCAGACAAGACACCTCTCTTCCCCCTTGCTCCCCCAACCAGCCTGCAAGGCTGTATTACAGTCAAGTCAACCTTGTTTAGAACCTCATTAGGAATTTCAGACAAGATCTTCAGCTTTAGGATGTGGTTCAAAATTGTTTATTTTCATTTCTTCTGGACTCAAACATACAAATCTCTCCTATCTTATCTAAACCCAAATCTAAATCTTACCTCACTACTAAATGTCAGGCACACCAAACTGTTAATTTTGAAGGCAGGCTGACCACCAAATGGTATCCAAACATAACTGGCCCTCATGTTATCAAACTGGAAATGCCAAATTCTGTGAGAAAGACCATCCTCTCCCCATACCCTATTTAAACTATTTCCAGAGTTCCATAAATCTAAAAGTAACAGAGCATTTATTTATAAACAGTCTTTTGGCACATGTACTTTGCAGATAGAGAGCACCCACAGGTACAACAAAGCACCCAAACGCTTCCATCGTACCAGACTGTCCTCCCACAGCAACTAGTTTTCACTGAAAGTTTTCCCCAAAGCAAGGCAGCCTTTTAAAAAATGCTTCATTTTCACAGGGAGGTTGCAGTAGCAGTTTGTTGGCAATATCTGTGGTGTGCATTCTGCAGTGTGCAATTTTTTTGGCTTTTTACTGGGAGAAACTGCTCCTGTGGCGAGAAAGGCATTAACATAGTTATAGGTTAGCAAGAAGCCCTCATGGTATTCAGGCTATTTTAGCTATTGGGAATGAACAGTATTTAGCAAAATGCTGAGTACAGCAAGGAACAATTTTCCTTTTCATTTTGCTGTGAAAACTCTCATAGAATTATGCAGAAATGTTCAGCAACACTGTTCTCCTAGAGGCTTTCAGTCCAAACTTCACATCTGCAATCTACTCTTGCTAAGATTAAAGTGGTTTAGAAGACTACAAAATAAAATCTACTTTAATAATCACAGTTGTATTATCAACTACAGAACTAGAAAAAAACTTTCCAGAGAAGCAATTACTTTTCCCCTTTTACACAGAATGATGGAAGACACCAGGGTGCAGCATGTTCCAGCCACCAAGCAACGCTCTCACATCGATTATAAAAGACATAAAGACTTGGAGACTGAAGCGCAGGGACTTCATAAAACATACAGCCACACCAAGATAATCTTTCACTGCCATATGCTCCAGCTGCTGGGATAATTCTTTAAATGGCATCAGGGGATTTCAAACTGTTTGCCAGCTGATACATCCTAAACCATACCCCACTCTCCTCATCTCACTTAATGACACTGCACATCTTTTTTGGCAAGACACTTGTTATGAGTGAGTCAAAGAGGTAGGTATTACTCTTCCTTCCCTTCCAGCTGTCTTACCCCCAGTCTTTTTTTTTTTTCTCTTATCCTTGATTATCATCTCAATCTAGCTACAAAAACCCTTTAGATCTCTAACAAGGCAGATATGTTATCTGTGTTAAACTCAAGTCTTCAAGGAAGCAAACTCTTCAAAGATGGAAGTCAGTGTTCCCAACTGAGGGAGCACAGTAGGACGATGAGTCAATCTCACAACAATGTAATTTCATCCACTTGTAATTCATCACATCTGAGTAAACACTTCTAGAATTAATCTGAATCTTTAAAGAGAAGAATCAAGCATGTAGACAAATCCTTTTCCAACACACGTGGATATAAACATTTATAAAAACATTACAGTCATGAAGCTAGGAAATTTTTATCATTTGTTTTCTGTTTGTCATGAAAAACAACAGATAAATCATTATACAAAGATTTCATGAATAGACCTTTCCCTCCCAACAGACCATAATATATCTGACTGTCTGCAGGAAAAGCAAGATCAGGTGTTATACCTGCTTTGATCTCTCTCCGCTAAAGAAAAAATAATGCAAAGAAAAATTTGGCAGCAATTCCTCCAAATTATGAATCTTCATGGCAATCTTGGGCCAAGCAAGCAAAAGGCCTGTGGTAACTGAGATTTAACAAAAGAACAGACCTTTTAAAATTCTCTGATATCTTCTCTGCAAGACTCAGAGTAACACCTGCTACAGGGCAGCAACAACCACTGGTTTTGCTTTTTAGAGGAAAACTTTCACCAGCACTGCTTGATAAAAAATTCACACCAAAAAGCTGCAAGCCAAAAAATAACTTTAAAACAGCTGGCAATGGAGGGAAAGGAATAGTGGAGAATGAAATAAAGCAATAGGGAATGACAGGTTATCCAGATATAACTGATGTTTTGCCATTTAATTTTTTTCAGTTTTAAAACCAGCCCCTTCATGAAGAAAAATATCTACTTGCTTATATTTATCTCTTTTATATGATTTGTGCAACAATGACCTAAGACTAAAAAATACATAAATCAGACACTGAAACACACGTCTGAATTTTTTTTAATGATTTTGAGTGTGGAAAAAACATAATCTTTAG